TCCATTAGCCCTTGGCAAAATTTCCCAGCTCCACAAATGGCAGACTTTTATAACTCTTCGAGACAACCATTCAGAGATTGTAGCTAGTTGATGATGTTTCCCTGAAAACACACACACCGGCAAGACGTTGTAGATTATTTTTACAGAAATGCAAGATAACAGGACAAAAATGATCCATCTATTTGATCCAGCAAAATTGCCTCTAACTGAAAAATCTTGATTTGCGTTATGGAAGAAATTGTCACGGACATCTCCCACAACAGACTGACGTGGCTTGTCAAGACACTGAGAAAAAGTAACAGAAAAAAGTGGGCACAGTTTGGCATCTAAATGGCATCAAGCTCCAGATCAAGCTGAACATTTGCAAAATAAGACTGCATGGTTCGATCCATTACAGAGATGTGAGACCTGGGGAACACACTCAGCCTCTGCCTCCATTTCATTAGCAGCCTCTGTGAGTCATACCTAACATCAAATGGCAAAGCATGGCTATCAATTAAGATGTTCTGAAAGGCAGTCAATACCCTGGCTTGAAGTCAGGGTTATTGCAACTCATATTCTTTGGGTTTAAATACATCCCCACACACAGCACAGACATGTGCACACACTTGCAAGCTCATGCACCAGAATCTAAATCACATTACATGATGCACCGAAAAGGCACACCTATGGGAAAAAGAGACCAAGGCTATCCTTTGTGACCCCTGAGAAAAACAATTTTAAATAACATGGGAAGATGTCCACTGACAACTGCTAGGAAAACCCAGTGAAGGACAAAGTTTCCTCTGGCCTGAAGAGCTCACTGAGATACAAATCCACACACAGAAAAAAAGCTGCACATTGAAAAAAACTGTCACAGTGTCACAGATATAGAGAGTTTGACTATTCTAATCATCCAATCTAATTGCCACAGGGTTGAGCTCATCAATTGTTACAGAAATGATTGTGAGGGGTGCTGAAAATGCCAGATGAGCTCCACGGTGGCTGACTCAGCCTCTTCAAATGTGACAGACAAAATACCAGGCCACCCATAAGGCAAACTGCAGTGCTACAAACAGCAGAAGCTCGGGTGCTGACCAGGGGCAAACGAAGCACGTCACTTGTCCTTGAGGTAGCACGGGCCTCAAAGTCACTTAGGGCTGTGGAGCAACCACCAGAGGGACAATGAAGGACACACACTAAACAGTATCAGATGCCACATTACATTATAAAATTATAAACATTAGCAGTCATACGTGAATAAAACTTTTGCAGGTGTTCCATAGTCTTCTTCATGGTCCAGGCGATTTTGATTACTGTAAATATATTTGTGATGAAACTACGGCCTTTATGCAAACTGCATTGTGTTTTGCTCAAATGTGTAAGGGTTTTTTTTGTTTGTTTGTTTTTAAAGCTATTTACTTAAATGTTCTGAACCAAAGCAAGAAATTATTTCATTGGGGAGGACTGGGTTAAAGAACATAAAACTCAGGAGATACATTCATGTTGGGAAATCAATTGCTGATATCCAATAGTGTCCAGTAAGCTTCCAGTTGGAAAAGACTCTATCTGTTTGCACACTGCCTGGGAACATGTATGGAGTTGCTGCAGTCTTTGTTTGCCAGATTTGGCCAAGTGAGGTGGAACAGAAAGTAATTTTCTGTTCTCATGTCAAGAGAACGAAAGAGAGCAGAGAAGTGATAAGCATGCAGGAAGAGCTGACTTCCAGTCTTTTATGCAACTAACACAAAGCAGTCATGGATAATGGTATGTGTGTGTTTGTGTGTAAAGGGGAAGGATGTGTGAATAAGTTAGGGCTTTCCAAGACATGGAGAGGCCTGAGAGAAAGAATCAAAGTCTAACTTGAAAGCAGAACTGAAGAAAAAAGATTAGTAATATTAACAAATGAAGGCAAGTAAGGCATTAACTAAAATGTGATGTATTAGTCCCTTTTCACAATGCCAAAAATAGACATACCTGAAACTGGGTGGTTTATGAAGGAAAGAGGTTTAAATTGACTCAGTTCTGCATGGCTGGGGATGCCTCAAGAAACTTACAATCATGGCAGAAGGGGAAGCAGGCACATCGTACATGGAGGCAGGAGAGACAGAGTGAAGGAGGAACTGCCAAACACTTACTAAACCATCAGATCTCGTGAGAACTCACTCACTATCATGAAAGCAGCATATGGAAAACCACCAGGATTACAATTTGAGATGAGTTTTGGGTGGGGACATAGAGCCAAACCATATCATGCAAATCTACATTTGTATTTCCTTAAGTATTGTTCTGGTTTGTAACATTTTTAACAAATATTAAAAATTAAAGATTAGTTTATATTAACGCTTTGCTTTTTTAACTTACATTTTGAATGAAAAGGAAAAAATATCACTGAAAAAAATTATGTGTATTCGTTGTCTATGGAAAACCAGGGATGAACCAACCCCGCTTCCTTGGTTTCTAAATATCAAAAATACACTCAATAACCTCACACTTTTGAAAATCATTGATCCTTACACCTCTCCCAACTCCAAGTCTGCCAACACACCCTTGTAGTGCTCCCTGCTTCTCTGCCCTACCTGCCCCTCTTCTCCCTCTTCGAACGCTCCGTCTTTTACCTTGCCTTCAGCCTACATTGTCCCTCGTTGCTTTCTCAGAGAATCCTATTTAATCACGCCATCAAATCTGTTCCCTCCTCAGCACCTGGTTAAGGTCCCAGGCCCTCTTCCTTGAACCTAGCAAGAATCTCATTGCACTGGGCCTCCATATTCCAGTCTATCACTTGCCTTCTCCTGGGATTACCTTCTGATATACAGCCCCAACCCCTGAGGCCCTGGAAGACTTTTCATGCTACAGCCTCACTCCCCACTACCCTCAGCCCTGCTCCTGAGCCCTGGCCACATTGGTCTCCCTGTTCCCCTGAACAAGACTTGTTTTTGCTCAGACCTCTGCATGAAAAGCCCCTGCTCTTTTTCTGGCATCCTTGCTTCTGCAAACCCTACTCATTGCTTCCTGTGTGAAGGTCTTGGCAGAATTTATCTCTCTGTCCTCTGGGCTACTGTGGTACTTAGTTCTCATACAGTGGGGCGCTTATCACATTGCATTAAGGTTGCAGATGTGTCTGACTTTACCAACCAGATTATAGGCTCCTTCAGGGCAGGAACCAGGTCTCAGATCTCTCTCCACTAAAAGTACCTAGCAGAGGGGCTGGCAAATGGAAGGTGGTCAAACAATCCTTATTAAGTGAAATGCTATTTCTTCAGGCTCCCCAGCCAGAAATAACCTGGTGACAACTTACTCAAATTGAGGCTCATACAGAGGAAAGAGACTCGTAAGTAGACACACAAAATCTGAGAACCATAACAAAAAATATTCCTCCCCCCAGTTCAATGGAAATTCTGGGAGAAAAATAGATAAGTGAAACCTGGGGGCTGCCCTTTACAGTTGAAAAGCTACAACTTTATAAAATATTATGTATAATTTGATATGTTCATAGAAATCACCATGGTTAGTGTTACAAATTTAAGTATTTTTAAGGTATTGGAAAATGCATAAAGTGAATGAATGCACATACACGGAGGACAATTAAATGCATATTTTTCATGTATAATATTGATCAAAGTATGATTTATACAAAAAAAAAAAAAAACCCTGAACAAATCACCAGTATAGAGCAAACCCAAGGAATTTTCATCAAGGCAATGAAGCCACATAATCGTTATCCAGAGCAAGAAATGAAACATTCCTGGGCCCCAGAAGTCCCCTGTGTCTGTCTGTCTGTCTGTCTGTCTCTCTATATTTTTTAGATAGAGTCTCACTCTGTTGCCTAGGCTGGAGTGCAGTGGCATGATCACACGGTTCACTGCAACCTTGATCTCCCAGGATCAGGTGATCCTCCCACCACAGCCTCCCAAGTAGCTGGGACTACAGGTGCATGCCACTACACCCAGCTAATTTTGATTTTTGCAGAAATAGATGTTCACCATGTTGCCTGGGCTGGTCTTAAACTCTTGGGCTCAACAATTTGCCCACCTTGGCCTCCCAAAGTGCAGGGATGGCAGGCATGAGCCACCGCCCTGGGCCCTTTGTGCCTTTTTCTAGTCACTGCCTTCCTTCTACAGTCATTATCCTGACTTTGAACACTATAGAGCCATTGTGCCTATTCTTACTCTCTGTATAAATGGAACCATAGCTCATGAAATGTTTCCTGTTTGGTTTCCTTTGCTCAACATTATTTTATGAGATGCATCCATATTGCTACAAGAAGCAATAATTCATCCCAAATCTGTAAGTGTGAATGTCTCTAAAATTTTATTACGAATGTAGCCATAAGCTGCTGAACCATAAGGAATTCAACGTTTCTTCATTTTCACCAAGAATTACTTAAAGTAAATCTATCCATATTTTAGTAAGACAAAAATGTGTCATGTTTCTGAACCTTACAAACTCTATGACATCACGCCATTAACTTTCTCAGTAAACATTTCTAGAAGGAAGGAATAAAAGAAGCAGAATTATAAAGCACTCTTTCAGTAAAAAAGAAAAAGAAAACTAGAAAACTGAGCAGGTGGGGGGAAGACCCCCTGAAATTCTCTGTATAGTTTTGTCACAGTCATTTTTGAAATCGGTCTAATTTTCTAAACCCTGTGAGAAAACTTTTTGCACTTTTGGTGCTTCATTTTTGACATTTCACAAACATTTAAAAACTGTAAGTTAGGGAGAAACTTGTTTTTACTCTTTCATGTGTCCTAACCCCAGAATGATGGTTTAATGAAGTTGGTGAAAAGAAAAAGGAAGGGTTTTGCCACCACATTGTAAAGAACTGATAGGAAGAGTTTCAGACTGAATCTGTAAAACAAATACAGAAGGATTATTTGTGTTCTTTTCCTTTTGAAAGGCTATGTGCAGCACCCAGCAAGCTATGCTTCCATGTTGTTTTATATCATATACATTTATCACACAATGCTACTATCCAACAACACACAGATTCCAAGTTTGCCGAATCGCCTATGAGCACATACCTTGGGGATTAAAGAAACCAGTCATCCAAAACACATTAGGCCTCCCTTCAAATATCCATGCAGAAAACTGAGCATTTCTTTCCAAAAGTTCAGTGAACCAGAAGCCCAGTGTGGAGGAATCCCAAGACACTCTTTTCCAGAGCTGAGGTATACGAGCATCATACATGTTGTCCAGGGCATCTCTCAGGTTCTGGAGAAGAAAAAGTAAAAACACGTGAATAAGAAACATCAACAAAGAAGGAAATGCCTACTGATGTAATAACAGCTCACCTCACTCATAATGATTGTTCCTTCAATGGCCAATTTTAGATCACTCAGGCTACTGCGGAGTATTGAAATGACTCTTTGCATTCTGTCAATTTCTTGTCTAAGAAATATGTTCATTGAATTAAGATGTCCCATCTTTATCAAACGAGATTTCACCTAAAACAAAGTAAACAATGTGATGAAGGAGATTTTGTCATCTGTCATTTCTCTTCCAATGACCTCTTCATTCTCATTTTTTTTTCTTCCTCTGGATATATCTCTACCAACCCAAATGAACTCTAAAATATCTCTTGCAGAACCAAACTTGCCATTAAATTTCCCATTTCCTGGGTTTCAAACACTACTGTTCAACTAAAGTGATTTTTATTTCCTACTGATTGTACTCAGCTGATAACTGAAAATGTACTTTAAAGAGCTGAAATAAAATTGTACCTTTTTTCCCTTTCACATGATTAAGTAATGGGTGTCAGTTAAATATTCTTTTTGCAATTTAACCTCCATAGGAATATTGTGGATTTTTTTCTTCATTATGCTTGCAGAGTTAATAGAAATGTCACAGAAAGTTAATATAGCAAAAATCTTCACAGAGCAGTTACCAATATATAGGATTAGCTAGAGTTTCCAAAGATCATTGTTGCCTTAGCTATGACGGCTAAAGAGAGTTTCCTAATCTAATCAATGAGAATATTTGATTTTGTGGAAAAGCCAGTTAAATACCTGTCATTTTTTCCTTTTGATGTAGCACTTATTGACCATTTTGAAGAGATCAATACAAAAGCCTCTGGCTGTGGGAACTATAAAATACAACGATTATTGGAAAACAAGCCAATACCATACACACATTTCAATTTGGTGACATATGCCCAAGAAAAGATTGACTACAAATACTGGCAGGAACTCATAAAGGGATTTGAACTTTCTGCTGGCCACAATCAAAGAGATGCCGGAATTGAAGGAACAAGGATGTATCAGGCACGTGGAGTGGGAGAGAACTTCAAGTGAGGTATCAACCCAAAGGATCACAGGAGGCCAGGAACTGCAGGATTCTCCGCCAGAGATGCACACTGCCCCCTCGTGAGGCCTGGAATGTTAGAGACAGATGGGCTTGAGTCATTTGAATCGTCCTCCACCTTTTATAGAACAGGCCTCTAGCATGGTGCAGAAGTTTTCTTCCAGCAAGGGACACCTATGTTTACTGCAATTGGGTTGTTTCTAGTGAGCAAGAGAGGAAGAGGGAAAACACAAAAAGGAAGGAGATATAATACTGAGCTCAGATACAAAATAAGCTGCCTGAATAGGACTACCTATGCAGGTGGGACAAATTATATTAAAATCACAGTCAAGTGTGCCAGTGGAGGTCCCTAACCCAGTCTGTAGCAACCTTCAGCTACTCGCCCAAATTCTTGGTTCTAGAGCCTACATTTTTGCAGTTTCTAGTACCTTGTTCTCACCTGCATCGCAAGTCCTTCAACCTCCAGTGGTTGAATAGCATATATATATATATATATTTATACACACACACACACACACACACACACACACACACACATATATATATATATAATTCCCTTTAAATCAATCCATCTCAAGAGTGGAAATTCACTCTTAGGGAAAAGGAAAATTATAGAAATACTTTCACAATCCCATGAGTAGAAAATAAAGCGCAGGCATTGACTACAATATCAATTCAATAGCCCAGGTATCTCTAGTATATTAATAGTTTCAAACAAATCCCTTTGACCTGCTTAGAGTTTTAAAAAGAAAACTTTGAGATGGAGACATGCTTAGGAAAACCTTAAACCCTAGAAAATGTAATTCTAAACCTGATTTCGAGTATAATTATTGCTCCAGCCTAAAATTGTCTTTTTGTTAATAAAATGAAGTATTTTATTAATAAAATATTTTATTAATAAAAGACTTGCTATAGTCTTATATAGCATTTTCATTATGTTTCTGGGGCCAGGTAGTTTTTTCTACAATAATGTAGCTTCATTTTTACTATAGAAGTCAATGGTATAATTATATTTTGATTTACAAAATTCACTTTACAGCCACACATTCAAGAGCAGATATCTTTATAAAATAAGACACTAAAAAGTAAGTGATTTTGAAACAGCAAGTTTTAGATGTTTCTTAGTGCAAACTCTTTCCCATATAGGAATACATTTAATTACATCCCTGATGCTCAGTTTCTGCAGAAGTAATTGCCAAGACAGAGGTCTTGTTGGTGAAGTGGCCCCAACCAAGACTGGACAGCTCAAATTATCACAAGGTCTTAAACCTTTTCCCTGGCAACAGCAGCCCTGTGGTATAGTCACAAAGAGAGTGTTATCTCACCTTCACATGCCAGTATTAAAAATCTTTGAAGGCAAGTATGCTGCCTTGTTTTTTTTTTTAAGATCATATCAATTAAACTATTGAAAGTATATACTTACAATATTTATCCATTTAAAAATAATTTTCTTGCCTGAGTGCAGTGGCTCACACCTGTAATCCCAGGACTTTGGGAGGCCAAAGCAGCAGGATCACGAGGTCAAGAGTTCAAGACCATCTTGGCCAATGTGGTGAAACCCCATCTCTACTAAAAAAAAAAAAAAAATAGCTGGGTGTGGTGGCATGCACCTGTAATCTCAGCTTCTCGGGAGGCTGAGGCAGGAAAATCACTTGAACCTGGGAGGCAGAGGTTGAAGTGAGCCAATAAGTGCTCTGGGCGACAGAGCAAGACTCTGTCTGGAAAAAAAAAATTCTCCCCTTACTATAACTATCCCTACATGAAGCTATTTATTTCAATATATTAACCAAAGGTCTTGGTACCTATCTACACAATGGAAACAAGAATTATTTTAAGAGGCAACAAAACACTTTTTATTGTTGGGACACTTGTTGCATGCTAAAACTAGTTAAGACTGCAGGTTCTAGAGTTAGATCACTTTGTGTTCAAATTCTTGCTCTGCAACTTAGTTTGGTTTCTGCTGGTGCTGTCCTGGGCACTGAGTGTCATAATGTGTATGGAGCACTTAGGACAGGGCCTGGCTTGTAATGAGTGCTCAAAAACACAGCTACTGTCCCATGTGACCCCATTCTAATGAATGAATAAGTGTGGTTCTTAGAAAGCTTCAGATTGGTAATGGGGTGCTTATATGAATAATAATATCTCCAATAGGTATAATTGTTATACCCTATTCAATGAGTTTCAGAAGTGATTAAAAATCAATGGAGTAAATGGGGGGGTCATCTACCAACAGTTAAAACACTTGGAACATCGTAAAGAATACCAAATCACCAACACCATCGCTTTTTGGCCACAAAGATTTCATTGTTTTTTTAGCACAGTTTAAGGCATTGTAGAAATTCATATATAACTGGGTCACTGGGAAAACTTTGATTGAGGAGGAATTAACTTGTGAAGGAATTTTTAAAGGAATGCAACAAAAACACATCATGGAAAATGTTTTCTTCTGATGTTTTGAGAGAGAAATAGGTTATGTGAACAATGAGAGATGCAGAGGTTGGTAATATAGTCAAAATTTATCACACAGGTAATCTACCACATAGTCACTAACAGGTAGATTCTTGCTTTTCATGGTAATCAGACTTATTGTTTAAATGTACAAATAACCCTGCACACCAGTGGGAAAGCAGCAAGGCTTACCTCATGAGGAACATAATCAGGAGGCAGTTTACTCAGCATATCTTCAGATAATCTATAAACAATGGCTTCCCGGGTTTCTCCCACACCACCTCCACTCTCTTTGGGTTGAATGTTGGTAATTGTTTCAAGAACAGCAGAAGCAGTGTTACTCTGAAACCTAGCAAAAAGAGTGAACTGTTCAGAATGTAACAGGAAAATACATAAGAGATAATTGTCAAAGCTAAAATGAACTAATAGAATCACTTAAACCAAAGCAAGCTACAAAAACAAAAAAAAGGGGGAGAAGAAAAGTTAACTACCATTAACCTAGAGGAATGAAAAAAACTGAGATCCATTCTGCTGCCTCCTAATAGGACATCAAGAACATCAGTGAAATGAAACACTCTCCATCTTCAAGGAAAGAGACCCCAAAACATCCCTGGCTATCCAAATCACTGCTTCACCATCTTGGTTGTAGCTAACCTAACCACCTCATGCTGAACAATGAGCACATCTCCTTTCATTCTTCCCTGCTATAGACTGGTCATGAGAGTCTATCATTGTAGGACAGTTTGTTGGCTCAAAGAGGACCACTCAGATTTCCTCGTGGTGTTATCAACTATTAAAAGTTTTTGGTCTTTTCTGTTTTGTTTTCTCATTTTTCTACTGGTTTTATGATTTCCAGGGAAATCTACTGGCATGCATCAGCTCCACTTGTTCAAATGCAGCCATGCATCTTTAAATCCATTTATTTAATAAAGATTTACTATGTACCTGGCACTGAGCTAAGTTCTAGAATATGGCAGGGAAGAGACATCATTCTGTTTTCTAGTGAAGGAAATAGATATTTGACAATCCTATTCTAGTAAGTGCTGTGGAGGAAAATAACAGGATGCTTTCATAGAGTTTTGATTCTCTCATTCTCACTGTCTAGCTTGCTTTCAGGTTGACCAGATACTCTGAGATGCATGACTTAGTCTCGGTCCCTGAGATGCTGAGTTGACCAGTTATCTGGACATTTTGGTAGGAATGCATGTGTGTGTATGGGAGCGGGGGTGGTGTGTGTGTGTGTGTGTGTGTGTGTGTGTGTTGGTGGAAATTCACACTAGAAGATCAGTGAAAGTTAAAAAGTCACATGTAAGCCGAGACCAGAAGGATGAACAGGTCAGCCAGTAAGTACGGTGGGTTGGGAGGCAGAGAAGGACATTCGGATAAGAAGTAAGGGTAGGGGTGAAAAGGATTTCAGTGTATTTGAGGAACAGAGATAAGGCCAGTGAGGTTGGAGCCAGTGAGTTAGGAGGAGCGATGAGGATGGAGAAGAGGCAGGGGCCAGACCATGCAAAGTTATATGGGTATTTGTAGGATTCTGAACACCACCCTAAAGGCAATGGGCAGCCACTGAAGATTTCCCTAACCAGGTGTGACATAGTCAGATTTAAAATTTTCAGCCTTTTCTGAACTCCTAATTTACCATCTATAAACTTCACATAATTTTATTTTGGAGGGTTATTGTTTTGTTTGCTAATTTTTGTCTCTTGTCTAGATGTCAACCACATTCATATTTCCTTTTGTAGATGTGAGAGGCAAATCTAAAAGGGATTCAGAAAATACTTGAAATTAATGACTTGTTTTTCTGTTTTATTTTCTTGAACAGAAAACAAGCCATTGCAATATGGAAATATATATCCGAATTTCATACTTGCATACCTTTTAATGTAGCAATTCTATACCTAAGAATTCAACCTTAAAAAGAATGAGACATTTGACATTTCCATTTCTGATAGTATGGTGCAAATGTGACTGTGAACCACCCTTCTGAAACAACTAAAAATTCTGGAGGAGATATGAAAAACATCCTTTTAAAAACATCACTGAAGTGGCAAGACAATAAAAAAAATCCGCAGGGTCAAATGAAATACAAAGTGAATGCTGGAATCCAGAGACATAAAGCCAGATTTTACCCTGGGGTATTCAACTAACTCTGGTGTTTCTGAGTTTCTGTTTAGATAGTACAATGAGACAGGGGAGAAGCCCTCATACCTGAGGTAGAAAATATAACAGAAAATTCCTACATAAATCTGGAACCCCACAGGGCTACAACCTCAGTATAAGGGTAAACTAGAAAGTAACCTCCGCCTGTCAGAAGAAGAGGGTAGGTAACTTGTTCTATGTAGTTTGGCACTAGGTGGGGAGAAAATCTTTTCTGAAAATTCTTAATTCACCATGTTTGTGACATTAGTTAACATTTATTCATATTACTTGTGCAACTTGGAAATGCTCAATCCAATAATTTATTTTAAGATGGTCCCAAGAAGTCTTAGGTGGCACCTGATGGAACTAAATGCAACTCTTCCCTGGAGCCATATACCTTTGACTCAGGTCTCAAATAAGCCAACAGTTAATTTCCAATAGACATAAGTTCAAAACCAAAAGTTAAAAACATTATAAGGAAATGAGACACTGTGAGAAAAAGCCAGAAGAAACAACGGAAAGCAGAATCAGACCTGTAGAGATCTTAGTGACTTTTTAGCTGCATATTACAAAGTACTGTATTTGTGATATTGAAGAGTTTTAGAAAGGGACTGAAAATATAAGTATTAAAGAGGAAACTATAAACATGAATAGCATATTTGAAAAAGAGCCAAAAAGAACTTTCAGAAATAAAACATAACTAAAATATAAAACCTATACAAGGTATTGCTGCTGTAACAAATTGCCACAAAATCATCAGCTTAAAACAAGGCAAATTTATTATTTTACAGCTCTGTAGGTGCTAAATATGACACAGGTCTCACTGGGCTAAAATCAACACATCAGCAAGGCTGGCTTCCTTTCTGTAGGATGTAGAAGATCCATTTCCTTGCTCATTTGGATTGTTGGCAGAATTAACTTCCTTGAGGTTGCAGGGCTGAGGTACCTGATTTCTTGCTGTCAACTGAAGGCACTTCCCAGCTTCTAGATGCCACCTGCACTTCTTGGCTTGTGGCTCACTTTCTATATTTCCAAAGCCAGTAATGGCAAGCCAAACCCCTCTCACACTTGGACTCTTTCCTCCTTCTGCTTCCATTTCATCTTTTGACCCATTCTTCTGCCTCCCTCTCCCACTTTTAAGGGCTCTTGTTATTATGTTGGGACTCCATAGATAGTCTAGGTTAACACCCCTATTTCAAGGTCCTTAACCTAAATTACACCTATAAAGTCCTTTTTGCCACATAATATAACATATTCAGAGGTTCTTTGGATTAGGATGTGGACATCTTTGGGATCCATGATGCTGCCTACCATAACAGCTTATAATGGGTTGAACAGAAGATTAGATACAGCCAAAGAAAGAAGAGGAAAACTGGAAAATAGATTTGAAGACTTTACATAGAACAATGCAGAGGATAAATAAATCGAAAATATGAAAGAGAGATTAAGAGACATGTAGTCCAAGGTGAGAGGCTCTAATATACATCTTAGCAAAGTTTCAGAAAGATGGAGAAAAAAAAGAGAAAAATAAGTAATGAAGTAATGACTAGGAATTGATGAAAGACTTGAATTCTCAAGTTCAGCAAAATCAATGAGTCAAAAATAGGACAAATAAACAAAAAATAGAAATCTACATGTAGATACAACACAGTAAAACTGTAGAATACCAAAAACCAAAAGAACATCTTAAAAGCAGCCAGAGAGAAAGAATAGATTATCTGGAAAGAAATAACAACTACACTGGCAGTCAATTACTCAACAGCAGTAGTGAAATCCACAAGAAAATGTCATAGTGTCTTCTATGTGTTAGGATAAAATAACTACATACCTATAATTGTGTGCCAAACAAAACTCTCTTTCAAGAATGAAGACAAGAAAAAATATTTAAATAAACATTTCACCAAAGAAGTAATACAGATGGTCAATAAGCACATGAAAAGATGTTCAGTCTCATTATTTATTAGAAAAAAGCAAATTAAAACCACAATGTAATACCACTTCACACTTACAAAGAATGATTCAGATCAAAAGATAGACAATAACAAATATTGGCAAGGATGTGGAGAAACTTGAACCTTTGTAATTGCTGGAGGAATTGTAAAATGGTGCAGTCACTTTTGTTTTGTTTTGTTTTTGAGACAGAGTCTTACTCTGTAGTGCAGTAGTGCTCACTATAACCTCCATCTCCCCAGTTCAAGCAAATCTCATGCCTCAGCGTCCTGAGTAATGGGGACCAAAGGTGGGCACTAGCACAAACAGCTAATTTTTTGTATTTTAGTAGAGGGGCTTCACCATTTTTCCCAGGCTGGTCTTGAACTCCTGAGCTCAGGCAATTCACCCACCTTGACCTCCCAAAGTGCTGGGATTACAGGCATGAACTGCTGCTCCCAGCCTGGTGCAGTCACTTTGGAAAGCAGTTCCACACTTTCTTAAAATGTTAAGAAGAGATTATGCCCCAATGACCCAATAACTACATTCCTAGTTATCAACACAAGAGAAATGAAAAGACATGTCCACACAAAGACTTGCACATGAATGTTCACAGCAGTATTGTTATTAATAGCCCCAAAGTAGAACATGCCCTACTATTCATCAACTGGTGAATGCATAAACAAAATGTGGTATATTTATGCACTGGAATACTATTTGACAATAAAAAACCAAGGAAGTATTAATATATGCTACAACATGGATGAACTTTCAAAACATTGTTAAGTGAAAAAAATCCAGACATAAAAGACCACATAGTGTATAATTCTACTTATGCAAAATCTCCAGAAAAGGCAAATTTACAAAGACAGAAAGTAGAGTAGCAGTTGCCCGAGGCTGGGGATGACAGTTGGGCGCAAATGAGCCCAACATTTCTTTTTAGAGTGATGGAAATGTTCTAACATTATATTGCAGTACTAAACTTACTAGAAATCATTTATTGTCCACTGAAAATGAGATAATTTAAGATAGGCAGATTATATCTTATAAAAGCTGTTTTTTAAAAAAGGAGGGCAAAATAAGGCATTTTCATACAAGAATAAAAGAATTTATCTTCAATAAAAGAATGTCTCCCTCATGGGGGAAATTCTAAAGGATATGATTTGGAAAGGAGGAAAGTTATTCTACTGCAAGGTTTGAAGTATAGAAAAGAATGCGTCAATGCATAGGTAAGTCTAAATAAGCATTATAGTATAAAACAATAATTATATACCTAAT